GGCTCCTGCCTGCTCGTTACACCTCGGCTTCGCGTGCGGGGCTGTCGTTTCCCGGGCAAGGGCCTTTCCCCGAGAGAGCCGCGAGCGAGGGAGCGGGCCTGCCGCTGCGTCGCCTCGTCAAGAGGTGGGCCCTGGCCGAGGGGACTAGTGGTCCAGAAAACTCGTGTATTGGTGCTGTGTGGTTCCAGCCCGGTTGGCAAGCCTGTCTTTGGAGACCTTATCCCCAGCTGGCTTGCCCGTAAAACAAATTTATACACTGAGTCTGAGGGACTTAGAGCTGCTGGCCCATCCACGGGAAGGTGGCAACTGGGGAGCGCGGTCCGGCAATAAAAAGTACAAGAGACAAGTTTATGAGGTGGAGAAGTGAGTGAAGCCTTTGCAGTAGTGAACTACCTGAGTCAAGGCAGAGATGCAAAGGAGAGAGATGAGGGAGGGAAGGGAGAGGAGAAAGCAATAGACATTGAAGACACCTGTGCGTGCACAGGGAAATCCAACACCCTTTCTCTTTTTAAACTGGAAAGAGGGCGAGGGGAAAGTTCAGGAATATCACGTTGATCTTAAATGCTGGTTTTAAGTCTGACCATTAATCTTGACGTTATATATAGCGCTTGACTCGCTTTCTGTTAAATATAAGGACATAACAGGATGACTTTGACTAGAAGATTCGGCATTTGAGTGTTGGAAGGCATTACTCCACCCCGATGGCTGCGTAGCTAATACAGTGTTAGTTGGAGACGGTCTTGCTCTTGCATTACGGTTGATGCAGACTTTCTCCAGTGAATGTACGACAAAATAGGTTTTCCAGTGCCTCAGTCTTCTATTTTGCCATGCCTTCAATGGAAAAGAGCCGGGTATCTTCAGTTTGTTCCTTGCTTTCTTCTTTGGTTTAAAGAAACTGAATACATGCAAATATATACATCTACTCTACAGACACCCCAAACTCAAAAGTTCAACAGCAAAAGCAGTTCATTAGTAGCACATCCCTGCTGTTAGGGGTGTTTATTAAAAGCATGAAGTGTGTTAGGAGGGGAGTGGCAGGGAGGGAGAAGACAGACAGCTGTAAGATGATTAGAGGTGTCTCACTTGAAAGGACTGTGACTTGGTTTATGTCCCCTTGCATTTTTAATGAGTCATTAAAATACAAAATTGCTGACCTTTTGCCACAGTGAGTTTGGGGCTAAAATGCTGCTTGAGCTTATTGTTTCCTCGGTTCTTTTCTCTGCTGCACGAGGGGTTTGTCTCTCCTTAGTGTATGAGGTGATGTACAGTAGAGAGGATTTCTGAGCTGGTTACCTCGTGTACTGAAAAGCCTCGGGGTTTTTATTGTCCTTTATTTTTGTGTGATGCAGCCTTCGTGTGTTGCAGCCCAACTCATGCGTGAAAGGTCACTGATGAGGAGGAACACTAAATGGCCGTGTATTTCACGCTGACATGTCAGCAGGCATTGGTGTTTGGAATGTTGTGTGGATAGGCTTGGGGTAAGATAAGAGAGCCTGCTAAAGTTTTCTACTCATTTGGATCCCTGTCAGGGAAGTGTGGGGCAGACAAATAGAAATTGCACTTGACAGAAGTTCCAGAAGATTCTTTAGTAATTGCTGGTATCACCTCGTTAAATACTTGGTATATATCGGAGTCTCTCTGAAACCAAGGAGTAGAAAAAAGGGCAAGTGTTCATAAACTTTCTTCCTGGGGGCCTGATTCCAGCCCAGACACTTTCCTGTTCTCTAGTCTGAATTCAGCTGTGTTTAACTGGATGTACTTGATGACGAATGGGGACTGGAAGATTTGAGCTGCAGGTTAGACTTCACATAAAGTCTAGATCTGCTAAAATGGTTCTTATCACTTCCTAACTATTGCAGGATTTTTCCCCTGTTGCCACTATCTGAGAGAAGGCGGCATGCTATTTCTGGAAATTTGGGACGGTCCTTTTGAAATGGCAGTTTTCAAATATCTCAACTGACAGATTGCTCCCTCGACTTTATAAACCAGCCTGTCTGCGGGGTGTTTGTGTGTGTGGTTTTGGCTATTGTTAGGAGCAGCTGAAACTCGAGAGGCTGATCTAGTAGACTTACTTTCAGTTTTGTTTTGAACAGTTCTGAATTGCACGTACATTTTAAATGCAAATATTTATTTTTTTTTAAAAGAAGCTTCTTTACTTTAGGAATTAAAGATTAAACATGCTGTTCCTATTGTGCTTATGCTTTTTTTGAGCAAGCCAAAGGCAGCAAATGAAGTACAACGTGTACTGCAAAGCACGCAACCACCCTCGGACCACACAGCTTACTCTTTCTTGTTTTAATTCCACAGAACATTAGAAATCCCTCTCTCCTGTGCAGTGCTGGAGCGCAATAAAAGCACGTCAAAAGGAGAACGCTATAGTAGAGAATTTCAGGAAATTCATACGCCTTTGTGGGGTTTTTTAATTTGGTTGGTTGTTTCCCCCTTAGCACGAGGGCTGCGAACAGCAGATGTCACTGGCTGGGAAGTGATCTCATTTTCTTGTCTCGCAGGTGCCCCAAGGTTCATGTGGTTTTCCCAGTATGCGTTTTCCTTCTCTCTTCCAGTGTCAATGCCTGCGTAGACGTGGTTCTGTCCGGTGTGAAGTTGTTGGAGGCGCTTGGTCTTGAACCTGGGGATGGAAAAAATCACGCGGTCTTGAACTCCAGGCAGGACCTGAAAGAAGCGTTCGCTCACTTCATGGAAAAAGGGGCAGCTGCCGAGCGCTTCTTCAGCGACGCCGAGGCTTTCCATCACATTGCACGGACGGCCTCCAAGTCCCCCGAGGCACAGGTATAAGCTTTGAGAAGCGCGTCTCGTAGCTTCTACATCGTTGGTGACCTGCATGCGCTGTGTAGGGAGAGTGCAAATCGTTTGGCAGAGAAACTGCTGGTATAGCTGGAGTGTGTTAATGACTTTCCATGGAACTCTGCACCTGCTGCAAATACAGGGTTTTCAATGGTCTGTCCCCTGCTTAACGCTCCCAAAACTGAGCTGTCAGTCTAAGGTGCCTCTGTAAGAATGCTGTTATGTGGGAGCCAGATGGGGCTGGTGCTGTAAAAGAGGCTCTTAACGTCTTGTAATGAGGCAGGAAGTGAGGAAACAGATCCAGGCATTGCGAGCTGTAAACACTGCGATCAGCTTCAGATCCTACTTAATGGAGGATTTAAATTCTCTCTAGGAGTGATGAAAAGAAATAAATATTTTTTCTGAAGCCTCCCTTTCCAAAACCAACATTTTGTTGCTCTAATTGATACTGGGTCTTCTGAATCTAGCGGGATACCTTGCTTGGCAGGTAGCTCATTTCTACAACTGCTTAATGCTGCCTTCTGTGCAGTTTGGCAGCTGCTTTGGAGGGTGAGGAAGAGCTCTAAACATCTCTTATTGGTCAAGTCTCTCCTGTGTTGACTTCTCACCACGTTTGCTATGTTGGCTTTCTGGAATCACCTGATTATTGGCTGTATCCTTCTATAGCCTGTTTCCTGTCACCTCTCAGTCCTGGGATCCTCATGACAATCGATAGTCTTTGGTTTCAAAGCTCACATCAGAGTTTTTTTTTTACTTGAAAGTTTGACCTTTCTTACCTGAAGAAACTTTCACAGTTCCTTCACTTCATGTAGGCACAGGTAGCAGGTCTAACCTTGATTTCAAACTGGAGGAAGTATTGTTGCAGTTTTTAAATGATTGCTTGTCAGTCTTGCTAAAATTCATGAGTTACCAGCTGCCACAGAAAAGTTGCACGGAAGTAGGGGCTGTTTATGTTACGAATGAATTGGTTTGTACAGGGTCATGAGTTACCTGAAGGCCAATGTTTAGATTTTAAAAAGTCAGAGACATTCAGCTTGTTGAGATCTCACAGAAAATTGTAAAATTATTTTGCCTTCAGTCCCAGTAAGCTTTATTACCTTCTGCAATGCTAGACCCTTCTCTAAATTGCCAAAATCTGTAGCCTATACTGAGGACTAAGCATGCATAAAGCTATCAAAGCAAGGGAATGCCCATACCTGCCTCTGTTTGTTTTACAGCTTTACGTAGGAGGAAATGCTGCTCTCATTGGTCAGAAGCTTGCAACAAATCCAGACCTGAAGGTACGTGCTCCAAAAATTTCATGCTATTCGCTTGTCTTTAATGAGGCTGACATTACTTCCCTGACAGTTTTGGGGACCTTGCAGTTATTTCTCAGATTATGGTGGAATATATGGTTGGCCTTGCAAGTCGAAGAGCATAGCTGACTTTTAAAAACTGGATTATTATTTTTTTAAGTCAGTTGTCTAGGTGATGCTTAAATGCACTGAAATGCATAAAGGGACATGGCAGGGAAACGTTGATTGGTTTTCCTTGCTTTCTAGATCCTCCTTTGTGGCCCAGTTGGTCCTAAACTCCATGAACTACTTGATGACAACGTGGTGGTGCCACCTGAATCCATGCAGGAAAGAGATGAATTCCATCTTATCTTGGAGTATCAAGCAGGTACCGTGCCAAAGGCTGAATGTTACATGGGAACCTCGAACATCACTAAGATAATCCTGGCTGTAGAGTTGCTCATTTTTGAATCGGTTAATTCCAGGAGGACTGTGTAAAGTATCAGTATTGGCTGATTGTCAGTGGGCTAATCTGGTAATTCCGTGCGCTTCAGGGAGCTGTGGTAGGTGGACAGACATCTAAAAGTCTTTCGAAACTTTTTCCCTTTGTAATGCTGTAAATACTGACTCATGCTGCTGTCTTGACTTCCCTTTGGTCCTGCGTTCTTGCAAGCTATAACCTATAGAAACGAACTGGACTTTTAATTTTGTTGCTGTGCATAGCCTAAGCGGGCCTGATGGGTGTAATTCTGAAGCAGTGTGAACACTAAAATAGGCCAGTAGTGTTCTCTGAAAACAGAAGGGTGCCATTTAGCCACATGCAGATGAAATCCAGGGTAAGCCCAATGTAATGGCTAAACCAAATCTGCCTGGATTTTCTTGCTGTTCTCAACGTGAATCATTTCACTGGTCCTGTCTCAAAATACAGCGTCAGAAAGAGTTACATGGGTGTGACACAAGAGGGAGTATTTGGCAAGGAGGGAAGGCAAGAACCACCTTAATTTAAACTTTTTCAACAGCAAAACTGATGTGGAGCAGCACCCAAAGCATCCACTCTGATGGACTCCTGGCTGAAACAAGGTTACTATAACTGACAAGTACTGTAGCACGGTAGCCAAGGAAAATACAGTAATCCTTAAGAAAAGCTTAGCCCTCTTGCTCCTGGAAGCATCCCAATCAGATGACAACATTAGTATATGTCTCCTTTTCTCAGCATCTTTGTTCTCAGGTGAGAACTGCCCTCCCGATGCAACTGTGAGGATCTTTGTCCTGGACAGAACTTTGTCGTGAGACTTTTCTTAAGAGAAGGCAGCACTGATGGGTGTTGATGCTGGTTTAGTGGCTTTTCCACAAATGCTGGTCATACTCTCCATGGTATAACCAGTATACAGCCTGGGACAGTCGAGTGAAGAAGGATGCAGGCTGGTTCTAAGGTGGAGGTTCTGCCTCTAACAGCCTCAAAAATGCTTGTGTCTCACAAGCTTTCTGTTCGAGCTGCCCTTTGTGACCTGTGTTTATTTATTCCCTTACATGTCTTGCTGTCCAGTTTTGATAACTGGCACGAGGAACTGCCAGCTGCCTGAACAAAGATGTGTGTACAGATGGGGAGAGCTGGCAGAGGGCTGGCCAGTTGGACTGCAGCTTGTGTAATTTGTATCCTCTCTAGGCTCGCTGTCATTACCCTGTTTTCGCGTGGCTCAGTGTCCTGGAGATGGAGCCCATTTGATTTGTGATCTTATCCAGGAATAAAACAGTTTACACGTCCCCCACTGATCATTCCTGTGAGCTGTGCAGTCAGGAACAGTAAGAGCCATCAGAGTTTTCAGGGTGGATCTTCCTGATACCACCTGAGTCAAGCTCACAGGTGGTGGCTGCCAGAAGGGGAAGGTCTCCCCTCTCTTTGCGTGCCCTGCACCCTCCAGATGTTTGGCACGAGCTGGCTGTGACGCTCACCTAATTGCATGCTAAACTAATACATCTGATTAAAACATCACAAAGCTTGCAAAACCAAGCAAGTATTGCCTTTTCTTCCTGATCAGACAAGCATCTAAATGAGGCGAAGAGAGTGAATGAAGAGAATGAATGGGAAAAAGAGCAAAATTTCTCATGTGGCTGGCAGTAGCTGTTAACTGGGCACAGTCACGTTGTGAAATTGTGCCTTTGGATTCAATCATGATATCCCAAAGGAATCTCCAGATACGTGGTCTGATTTGTTTCTCTTCTGAGTTAACATGCTTCTATTTGTTTCGCCCTAGGTGAAGAGTGGGGACAAGTGAGAGCACCCAGTGCCAACCGCTTCATCTTCTCCCATGACCTATCAAATGGCGCCTTAAGTATGCTGGAAGTGTTTGTGTCCAGCTTGGATGAATTTCAGCCAGATCTTGTGGTACTTTCAGGACTTCACATGATGGAAGGCCAGAGCAAGGAGATGCGGCAGAGACGACTTATGGAGGTCAGATACTTGAATATTAGTGTCTCCTTAATTTCCACTCCAACAAATGCTTCATGGTAAAGTCTTGGTTTCCCAGGCTTGAACTTCTAAGTAGACAGTGTCTTCAGATCTCCCCCAAATCTTTTTGGTTTTGCATGATAAAAGAAGAATGTGATCTGTAGGAATGGCAAAAGGCTAATCCTGTAACACTGATGTTTCTCAGATTCAGTGGGTTGTCTAGGGAAAAAGTGGTATGGTCTGGCTGGAGTACGTTGACATAGTTACTGGAGCTTACCTAGCAGCTCAGTTACACTTTTTCTGTGCCAGAGACTAAGATGATCAAGGTTATAATTGAGCCTTGCATTCCTTAAGCAGCATCTATATTAGCTAATCCAAGAGGCAGCTTTCTTATCTGAGCCCAAAGGAGCTACACCAAGTTTTCTTTCTACTTACAGGTCATTGCCTGTCTTACAGCTGAGTGCCCTTCCTGATGCAATGCACTAGCCTTTTATTTTCTTTTTCTTTTTCCTCTGTTCCAGGATCAGCTGTTCTACAGCTGCTTCAGATTTGTGAGGTTTCTCAATTAGCTCATTAGAAGAGTGCCGAGTTGGGTGCAGTTTAAGGTTAGCTACAGTTTTCCTGCTCTGGGATTCTGAAAGCCAGAAGTTGTTTTTGTTTATTCCCCTTAGCAGCGCGTTCAGGCACTTGTCAGACATCTCATTTGGAACTGTTTTTAAATCTGTACACCAGACGAGTCAGAACCCCTTAGTTCTTTCTGTGTCTTAATGAATATGTGTTTTAGGGTTGTTTTTATTTTCCTGTACCCCTGTAGGCTGTGGCCTCCATCTCTGATATCCCTACTGACATTCCTATACACCTGGAGTTGGCCAGTATGACTGATCAAGATTTTATGAGCAACATTATCCATCAGGTAATGAAAATAAAAGGACGTGCTCTTCCTACCAGTTTTCTTCAGGATCACAATGTACAAACTGGTAGATGAATACAGAAATGAAAACTTACAATGAGGGCTATCCATTTGAAGATAAATTGAGAGCATGGGTTTAATGTCTGCTATCACGTTCTGAATGCTTCTGTTTTCGCTGCTGAGACCCTTACCAGGGTCTCCTCTGTGCAGCGAAGGAGAATTATAATGACTTCGCAGAGGACAGATTTGTCTTCTTTAGCTCAGAAAGAGTATTCCTTTTAGAAAGGTCTCTCTGGGAAGTTTCATCTAGGAGGTATCTTACAATGCCCTCGGTTGATGGTCAGACCATTTTCAGCAAGGATTTTTTGCAGATCTGAGTTTATTTGGCAACTACTCAGTAAAAATGGCCATGCAACGCAGCTGGGCTCTGTCTTCTGATACAAAGATGTTTTGCAGTCATGGGGGGAAGGTGGCCCAGGAGAATACTCACAACTCCACACATACAAGTAACTTTGGCCGGTTTAGATTTAGCAGGCTTGCAGATTTCTATAAAAACCAGCATTTCAATCTGAGCTGAGTTTATAATTTAAAAAAAAATCCTATTTCTTTGCAGAATTTCTTTCCTGCAGATCCTGATGGTTCCTTGTTTAGCTTGACACAGCTCTAATCTCAGTGTTATGAGTGGTTCACGTGGATTTGATGTTTTGTTACTCTTTAATGTCAAAGTGTGTGTCTAGAAAATCAGTTGCACAAAACGAGCATTCCCCCATTAGCATGAAATGTTTTCTTGGCCAAGTAATTCTTGCAGACTTGTTGAACTGGAGAAGCTTGTGCAGTGACTTTGGCCTGCATTTCTCCAGGAAACTGGGTGCTCCCTTCTCCTGAGCACGCTGGTGATGGAGCCAGTAACACAGTGTTGTGAAAACAGTACCCTGAATGAGGAAGACCAAAGTCTGAAGGAAAAACTGTTGTTTCTGTGTTTCTGTTAGCAGGTCTTTCCCCTGGTGAACTCCATTGGGCTGAACGAACAGGAGCTGCTGTTCCTCACACAGTCCGCCTCTGGTCCCCACGCCTCCCTGGCTTCCTGGAGCGGAGTTCCCGACGTGGGTGTGGTCAGCGACATCCTCTTCTGGATCCTGAAGGAGCATGGGAAGATGGCGGAGCGGGCCTCTGATCTCACACGGGTCCACTTCCACACCCTGGCCTACCATATCCTTGTCACAGTGGATGGGTACTGGGGCAACCAGGTTGCTGCAGTGGCTGCCGGAGCTAGAGCAGCGGGGACTCAGGCCTGCGCAACCGAAACCATCGATACCAGCAAAGTCTTTCTTAAAGCTCCTTTGGAGTTTGTGACCTCCCAGATAGAGGCCCCTGCCAAAATCTCTTTAAATCCAGACGAGCCAGTGGTGCATTGGCACAGAGAAGGCATCTCATTCCATTTCACTCCTGTGTTGGTGTGTAAGGATCCTGTCCGGACCGTGGGACTTGGGGATGCTATTTCAGCTGAAGGACTGCTGTACTCAGAAGTATATCCTCAATAGAAGAATAAGACCCTCCTTTTTCTCCAGTACTGTACAGTGTCTGAGGAACCACGGCTTAGGATTTCAGCCAGTGGTGGTATAGGAACAGAATCAGGGTGTGGTGTGTTTTCTGGATGTAACTGAAAAAGAGCCAAAGAATAACTCCAGGTATAAACTGTCAGATACATTCCAGTCACCTGGCAGTGACTTGAACGCTTCACATTTAGGAACAGACGTTTTAGTATTTAATGTGAAAATCGGCTTTGCTTTGTCTTAAGCATGCGGGGAGGGAGACGAGTATCAAAACCCCTGTTTGGCGCAGGGTTGCTGTTTGTAACTCTGGATGGGTCTTGTCTGTTAGTGCTGGAAAGTATGGCAGCCAGGAGAGCTTCCTGCGTGTGGATCCCAGGGGGAGCACAGCAGTGCTCGGCCCTGTCTGGCCTCTGATAAATTAAAAATAAAAGGCTCTTGCATTATCTCCTCACAGCACATTGCTACGTGGCAAGAGCAAACCTTCCGCTTGCTCGGTGTGATGATGAAATCTTTTACGGATGAAATTACCTCTCAGCCTCGGTGCCCCCAGTCTTGGAGGGAGCCAGAGTCCCAAAATGTGATGCACACTGTACCTACTCCTTGAATGCACAGAGAAAACCCGACTCAAGGCTGTGTAGATTATTTTGGGTGGCTATTGTCTCTGTGACTAAAGGTATTCAACTGAGCCCTAGTAGCCCATGCCTAGTGTTTGGGCAACTAGAAGTGAAGATAATCAGGGTTTATATCTGGGGAGACAGCTTTATTTTCTTGCCAGTTAACCCATGCAAAACGTTAACCTGTGTTTGCTGTACACTAAATACCAGGAATTCCAGCGGGGGGGCTCATGGCTGGTGTTTGCTAACAGTGGGTGCTTATATTTGGTATTTTACAGAAAAGCTATTTAGTGCTGGAGACCAATTTTTTTGTTGTTGTTTGAGAATGGTTGTGCAATTTTCTTCAGTTTGCCTGCCCTCCATTCAGAAGGGGTAATCTATTAGGGAAGGTCCCTTTGGAGGCTTAAAAGCTGCAACAGCGTTTTCCAGGTAAGACTGAAGTGAGGAAGGCTTTTTTAGGGTTTGATGGTTTTTTTTCCTTGACTGTGTCACTGGTAGTTTCTTCGCTCTGGACAGGATTTCAAATTAAAGAAGTAGAACCATGTGTCTTTGTTAAATACTTTGCTTATATTTTTTCCTTTTCATAGTGGCACACTATGGATTGCATAGCACCAGCATTTTTTTTGTCTTTTTCCAGTATGGTTTTGGCTCTGTCCACTTCCAGGAGCTTCAAGTGTATCTGGGTAGCTCTCATGCACGTTTTTGCAGTATAACTGGATTAAATGCAATCAGCATGTCCATGCAAGCCTGCGCCATACCAGAATTTGTAGGAGGTGGCTTTAGGTCAGTCTTTGCATCTGAGTGGAGGGGAGGAGAGCCCGTATCACTTAGGCTGGAGTGATCTGTTTTCTGTCCTATTGCTGTCAGTGATGTTCTCCTGTTGGAAAGTGCCATCATCAGGGCTCTGTAAAGATAAAAATTGGCAGCTGGTGTAACTGGTACTGACTTAGCGCACAGTGCTGTCTGTCAGTGTGTATTTAACTTCTGCTCTCCCTCTGAGCAAAGTTTTCAGTGTTCTACCAGTGGAGAAGTACAGTCAGTGTTACGTTTTCCTGCAGCTTATCCCATCCTGATCTGTGGAGTCTTAGCGTTTTATCTCAGTGCAGGATCTTCTTAAGACTGGAAGTTATTTCTATCCAGATTATTTTTTATTATTATTACTGATAAATTGTAGATTGGGACTCTGAGTTCTGGTTTAGTCTTCCTACAGAAGAAAATTAATAAAAAATTTCTCCTTCCAGTTGTCTAAAAGGTCTGTGGCCATTAGCAGGGTTATTTTGCAACCTTTGATTGTAGCCTTCTGGCACACCGCCCCTAGGACCACCACAGGCCACGCGTCCTGCCAGCTGCAGAACTAATCCTTTGCTTACGCGAGGTCCTGCTTTCCTGACACTGGGCCAAGCTCTGTGGATTCTCGAGTTGGAAACAAAACAAAACTAAATACACACAAGCTGTCACCAGCAACGGTCCTGCTGCTGTATTTCACTTCTCCCTTCCAAAAACATTTGCAGGGATGCGAGGCTGATTGGACTGGCATTGCCTGATGACCATTTAAAATCACATAACTGCGCTAACAAAACTTGTCCAAGGGTCGGTTCTGCTGGTATTTAACAGGAGTTACAGGCCTAAATTATCTCCCTTTTTTTTTTTTTTTCTTTTAAACTACTTTGAATAAATAACTGATGTGATCAAGTATGAAAAAGGGGCTTACTGCTTATCTGGGCCTAAAAGCTGAACTAATTATTGTTGTTGTTGTTATTATTATTAACTCCTCCTTCCTGTTCTTTCTCACCAGGTAATATTCCTTCTTTGGCCTGTTGTCGGTGCGCTGTGAACGCCTGGCACTGTGAGTCACTTCTCAGATGTCAGTAGCTGTGACTAGACTGCCGCGCGCTCAATAGATCTGCTTTGATTAGGCCTAGAGAGCTCGCCTGGTCACCAAATTCACTTACTAAGGAAAATTCTCAACGAGCGTGACCTGTTAATCAGATATGCCATTGGCATCTCTGATTAAGTTTTGAAACCATCTATATGATAATAAAATGGAATTGAATGGCAGGACCCAGCAGCCTGTCTTCATGTTTCACATGCTGTGAACACAATGCGCTTACCTTCCCTCTGCTTTCCCAACTTAATTACGACAAAGGTTGCAGAGTCTCTTGAAATCCTTCCCCTGCACGTGTAGGCTGTCTCGCACCTCTGCACAGCTGCAATAGCAACAACAGAGAAAAGCTGCTTTGTCTTTAACAGACCTTGCGGAACACCAGAAGTGGAAATAGCTAGTGGGGTTTTTTTGGTCTGGGTAGGGGGAAAAAAAAAACCTAGTGAAATTTCTGTTGATCGAGGGGGTTTGTTGTTTGGTTGGGATTTTTTTGTACAATACAAAAGTCCTTTGTAGGGGAGAGATTTTTAAACAAATTTATCTGATTATAAAAGTTCAGATCTCTCACCATAATGAAACAGAAAATTTGCAAAAATACTAGAGCTTTAAAACCAGGCTTGAAATCTCTGCTTTCCCCTGATCCTTGCTGTCTTTACAACTTCTGTTTGTTCTCGCGTGTTACTCATACCTTGAAATCCACAGTGATGGATGACTCAGACCTCAGCCAGGCTCGTGCTCCCCAGCAGAACAGTTTCCACTGTTTATTCACACATAGTTTGCTGAAGATGCAATAAGTGAGCTCGTCATTGGGACAGTGAGCTAGTGGCAATGATAAAACTTGTGCCTGTCGATATTTCTGCTTCTGTGTGTGCCTGTAGCCAGTGCAGCCACGTTGGTTTTGGTTTTTTGTCTTACCCTGGATTAAAATTGAGCAGTGCTTCATATCTGTTCTGTGGATGTTGCTTACTGAAGGTCAAGTGGTGGATTATTTGAGATGTGTCAATCACAGGAGGCTGGCAGACTTTGAAAGGACATGTTTCCATCTCTGCTGTGCCCTTCGTGATGTGCAGTTGCTACGTGGCCATGGAAGAGCCAATCCCAAATCCCACTCTTCCCAGTTTAAAGGCTCTTTACTTTTTTTTTTTTTTTTCCCTCCCCTCGCCAGGGGAGTTTTGCAGCATTGCTAAGGAATTACTTGATTTTCTTTACTTCTGTGTTTCTTGGTTATCTCCTGTTGTGCTACATGAGATCTGGTTACGTTTGCTCTCTTCTCACGGGTTCCTTTTTACAGAACTGGTGCTGAAATGTTTTTCCTTAGCCTTTATGCACTGCCTCTAGCAAAGACCTCATCAGCTGCTTTGACCCGTGTTACATGTTGCTTTGGAGCCTGACTCCACTTCTCAGCTGCTGGAAGCCAAAGCCTGGATAGCAGCAGATCGCTAGATCCATTTCCAAAACCTAATGGAAAACAGTCAGCAGTGTGTATGTATTTACCATCAGTTACCTTCTGCCCAAGTTTGTTCTAAAACTAGTTAGCCTAAGGCAGGGGCTGCTTTTTGTAGCCACCTCCGTAGTACACCTCCCAGCAACATTAACGGAAATAAACCCCAGACTTTTAAACTCTGAAATCCACTGATGCTACTTGTGGTTGGCTTTTTTTTTTTTTTTAATTCTGGAATGATGTACTGAATTATCTGGAATTATGTGCCACAGGGTGACCTTTCCAGCCATGTTCTGAGAAAAACAGTTAAAATGATTACTGGGACAGTTTTTGCAAGAATTGTACAAAGCAACGTAACTCTTTCCAGTTACCCTGAAAGTTGTTTAAACCTCTGTGCTGTTGGGCTCTTTTTTGGAGCTTGCGGCTTAGGTGAAAGCTGGTGCTGTTGTCACCGAGGGAGCAGCGGAGCTGTCTCTGCGTTGCTGGTTGGCACTGGTGCTGATCCACGTGCTTGGAGCAATCTGTTCCGAAGCAGGGCTGTCAAGCACTCCTGGGTGCTGCGGTGCTATTTCTGGTGTAAGGAAACTCATGGAGTTTTTGAATACACTTGGAAGAACAGTAAAAAGATGGAGGAAAATACTGAATTTGTATTTTTATGGCTTTAGTTGGATTATTCTTACGTCCTGCATTAAATCAGTATTCAAACGTGAATGTTTGTTTGTTTTAAGCCATGTTAATTGTGCAGTTACAGTAAAAGCACAGAGTTAAGTTTTAAACCTGTCATCAGTCTCATGTTTTTTAAAAAAATTACGTCTATAGCCTCATTAGTTAAAACCAGCTAGAATAGACACCACAACAAAGACTGTCTCGAGCACTAACGAGGTTACTCAAGAGAGAAAAGAGAATATTAAAGGTTGTCTTTGCTCTTTGTTTTTAAAGTTCGAGTGATAAAGGGCAGAGGAAACCTATTTGCAACAGGCTTTTTTGTGTAGCATATCCCTTGGCCTGCTCGCATCACTCCTGTCTGCTTTCTGCTTCAGCAATACTGGGT